AAAAAAAATGAAACCACAACAGTCCAATTAAAAGAAGTGTTGGAGGGAAGTCTGGAGCTCTGTAGACTGGAGGCACTTTGGCACAGAGCGAAGGCCCCACACCTGACACGACGGCCGAGGGAAAGCAAGGAGGGATAGAAGGATGGAATGACACAGAGGTGGGCTGAAAGGCATGCAGAGCCACATGGTGATACAGAGATCCAGGAATGATACATGGGTGGGGTGAGGAAGGAGGAGCACCTGACAAACGTGGAGGAAAAGGCCAGCCTCCCCTCCAGTTAATGCCATGTTCAGGAGAGGAGGAGGGGGAGGAGGAGGAGGGGAGGGAATACAAAGAAAGAAAAAGGGATCTTTCAGGTAGAGGAAGAAGAGCGACTTGGACCAAGTGACAAAGAGAGAGAGCAGAGGCAGGTGTAGAAGGAGGAAAGAGCAGTGGCCCATCGACAGAAGAGGAAATTGTCTGGCAAAAGCTATACAACACAAACAGGAAAACAGTCCTAGTGTGGAAGCAGAGGACGGCTGGTGGACGCCTGAGGTCGAGGGAGGGGGCACGCTATGGCAGTCCCACGGGTCAACAAGCCGGGCAGGCAGGAGGAAGGTGCTGTGGTCCCTCTTCTTCTTCTTCTCCTCCTCCTCCTCCTCCTCCTCCTCCTCCCATGTTACAGCTGTGCTGGGCTGTGTCTTGCCCCCCTCCTCTCCCTCCTACGCCCCCCCTCCCACCTGAGCCTCCTCTTCACAGGTAGAGCTCTTTGGCTCTGATATGCTGCAGCTTCTCCCTCAGCATGCGGAAGGAGGGCCGCACCACAGGGTCCAGGGTCCAGCATTGCTTCATCAGGTCGTAAACCACTGGCGGGCAGCCGTCCGGGGCGTCCATCTTGTACCCCTTCTCCACCCGGGGCACCACCTCTTTCAACGGCTGACGGACACAAACAGAGCAAAGCTCACATTAGAGTCTCTGCATCAATGTTCAGATCAATAAGTCATCTAATGCAAATGATTAAACTGTCCCAGGCAAAGGTTATTCTTCAAAACAACAAATACCTAAACGTGTAAATGTAACAAGTGGTGAAGCATGAAGCAAAGAATAATTAAGTTCATAATTTACAGCACACTTCGTGTCACATTTTCATCATCCGCTCCAGCAGTTCAGCGACATAAATCTAATTATTTTGAGGTCAACACTAAGGAAACCAGACATTACACTAATGTTGCACAAAAACAAATAAGAAAAAACAAAACGCTCGTCCCAGCAACAAAGCCTGCCATCTGCTGGTGTATGTCAGACCTTAGTGAAGGTACTTACAATTCTAGGGTAAGGCACACGGCCAAAGGAGTAAATCTCCCAAAGTAGGATTCCATAACTCCAGACGTCTGACTTGGTGGAAAACCTCTGTTGGACAAAAGAGAAGCCCAAATTCACACACTGTGCAGGAAGGCATTCAGAGAGCAGATTAGGTTTTTGTGCATGCAGCCCAACAAAAGTGTTTTGTTTTAATCCTATTTCAAGAGCTCAAGTGAGCAAATACTACAGACACAACAACCAGCACTGCTGCTCGACACTAGAGAAAATCAAAATGTAAACTATGTTGAGCTACATGTGTAAAACTCATTAAGAAGGTAGGCATGAAGGGCTGCACAATTAATCAAATATCAATCATGAACACGATTTTGGCTGAATCAAGGTAAAGACAAAACTTATTTTCAAGTATTCATGTGATGCAAAGATTTGTATATTAGCAGGAATGTAGGGCAACATGGAGGTGATATCAGTGCTCTGCTGAATAAAAATAAGTTGCCCCTACAATCTATGGTAAATTATTGTGATGTCAATATTGCTGAAAATAATTAGGATGATCATTTTAGCCATAATTTTATAACCCTATGTGTATAAGCAACTACAAGCAGAAAATGAGAGAGTTCAGCTGTTCCTTGTCCTGACTTACTGCACGAGTCTGAATATAAAACTGCCTTAATCGTGACGAGACGACCTCCCTTTTCTAAAGCTGAAAGATACAAAGCAATTTCAGAATAGTCTTGTTTGGAAAGTTTCTCTGAGACACCATTATTCCAAGCAGACAACACTGGTGCTTGTTAAAGCCTTTACCCTTTTAAATTAAGTGCTGCCATTAAAGTGTAGTGTATGTGATGCATAATGTACCTTAGCGCCACATCTGTGCAGCTTGTCTCTCAGTCAGACATTCGCACTCTTGCCTGTCAGGCTGCTGTGAGTGGCCACAATTATTTTCTCTGGCTTTGAGCTTTTCTTCAAGCTCCTCATAATGTCATGCTGGCAGTAATTCTTGGAAGCTTGACAGGTGACTTGATTAAGATGTGGGAGAAACTTTGGACTTGTTTTTACTCATGTATTTACTACACTGTAGGAAAACCCCTCACTTAAGCCACCAGAAACTTGTCTCGGGTAAACTGGGCTAATGAAGCACTTTTTGGGCTGATTAACGCTAACAGACACACTGTTAATAGACTTGCCAGCAACAGAAATACTGAGGCTACAGACAACCCACATTCCAACGTGATGTAAGAGAACCGGTATACGCTCAATTCAGAAATAATCCCCTGTCAGGTGGTGCAGTCCCCGAATATGAAACAGCCTCCATTTCTAATTCGCACCACCCTGTAACTTGAGTTCATGTAGTAGAAGCAGATGAATGCAAATGCCAAGAAAGCAACAACACATCAGCACAGGTCTGCTACCCGTCCACCCCTCACCTTCTCTCTTAGTGCTTCGGGGGAGGTCCATTTGACGGGCAGCTTGGCGGTGTCCTGTATGGAGGACGCCTCCTTGGTGAGGCCGAAGTCGCTGACCTTGGCGATGTTGTCATCAGACACCAGCACATTACGAGCTGCCAAGTCTCTGTGGACGAAGTTGTTGGCCTCCAGGTACTCCATGGCTTCACACACATCACTGACAGAAGAGAAGATGAGTGAGGACTGGATGACTAAGATGATAACAGCCCACAGGTGAAGATATATTCCCTAATTCATACGGACATAACTGTGGCTGTATTTATGATTTTTATTATCCAGTCTCACAGGACACAAACTGTGCTGCACATAAGTGGTGTCCATTGAAGGAAAAGCAACTGTGATTTAAATTCAGCTTCAGAGGTTTTACTTAACTTAAAATTATCAGACAAAAAAAATAAAATCCTCTTGTGCATAACACACAGTTTTTTAAATGTATTCTTCTGTAATTTTCTCACAAGTTCAGGCCAGTGTTACACTGAAGCGCCTGCTGAAAAAGAAATGTGAAATAATTCACAGTGGATTATGTCTACTGATCCAAATGTTTATGATTAATTTATGATTGCACTCATTATAACCTGTGCTGCATTACAGCATGAGCTCAATAACTGTTAAATTAAAAATAAATGATGACTTTAAAACCCTTGATTTGCAGATAAAGCAACTGTTTACCAAGGCAAACAACCTGCGTGATGGTTCCTTGAACAAACAAACAGCTCTTTTATGTTTCCAGTTGAGTGCGTGACACTGTTCTGTTGAAATTCAGTTCATTTCTGACAGCTGAAGCAGGAGCAGTTTAGTTGGAGACCCTGAGCTGTGCTGATTAAACATCTGCCTTTTGTACAAATCTAATCTAAGTGCTTGAACAGAGATGAAGAGGACTCACAGTGAGAACTTGAGTAAGCAGTCTCCACCGAGGACAGTCCGTCCTCGAGAGCGCAGGTAGTCCACTAGGCTGCCCTGTGGAACAGATCAGACTATTAACACAACATTTATATCCCAGAGACACTTATATCACACTGTGCAAGTGTGTTTTTAACATGAACGGCTTGAGCAAAAATAAAATCCCTGACTCCATGAGGGCTTCTCAAGAGACTTACAATGGACCAAAACAAACATGTCAGTGTTTTTTAAGAGCACGTTAGTTTTCAAATTCAAACTCTTAGTTAGCTACAGCTACAAGGTGGCAGAACACAAATGTCACTTTGCTGTTTAATATGGGCTTACCGAAGCTTGTGGTAGTTTAATGAGCCCGATATGAATTATCTAATAACTCTGCCATACAGAAAAAAAATGTGGAGTTATTCTTTAAAAACCTTGATGGAAAAACTCTCCAGTTTTGAAACAATTAAACTTTTTAGAAGATTGAGACAGAACTAGAAAGTCTAGCGCAACTGACCTTCGCCATGTATTCTGTGACGATGTAAAGACTGCCCCTCTCCTCCACGATCACCCCTAGCAACTGCACCAGGTTGTTGTGCCTCAGTTGCCTGTGCAAACAGAAAAATACCATCTTAAATGCAGCAAAACATTAACAACACGCCTCGCCTTTATATGCACACAGCAAAAATTAAATCTCTTAAAAAACACAGGAAATAGTCAATGACAGAGGACAAGCTTAAATTTAAACAAACCCGGTGTAGACACAGACAGAGACGTATTTTACAGGTGGTCTGAAGGACAAATGCAATAGTGGGAGGATCTTACGTCATGACAGAAGCCTCAGCGATGAAAGCCTGCGCTGTTGCATCATTCTTGATACACTTGACCGCCACCTTGGTCCCTCTGTAGTCTCCCACCATCACATCTGATAAGGACACAGACAGGTGAAGTTTTAGTGCCATCTCCAAGGCGACCTTGGGCTGACGTATGGAATGAAAATAAGTGATGCAAATGTCTTAGTGAGAGTTTCTCACCTCCAAACTCTCCTTTGCCAATAGTCTGGATGAGTTTCAGCTCCTTTCTGTTCAAGGCCCAGCCGCCTGCCAAGAGACAGCATTAATGACACTTCATGCTCAAAGTCCAAAAACATTATTATTTTTTTCTGCTCAGATGTGTAAATTCTTGTATATATTTGTTATCTTATTTTAGTTTTTATTATTTATTTTAATTCTTTTCTTTCTATAGTTATTTTACTTTATTTTTTATTTTCCTATTTCTATTATTCTCCTTGCTCCTTGTATGTTGTGTACGTACTTGGCCATTGAAGCTGATTCTGATCTGACTCTGATTCTTATTACTCTCTAACAGGCTCATAAAAGGAAAAAAATAACCTGTGACTTAATGTCTTTATAACTACATGTTTATATGAGTGTACAAGTCAAAAGTGAAGATGAAAGGATAAGAATTATTTGCTGGCTGTCCAGAAAAATAACTAAAATATTCAGTTTCATGTGCATGGCAGCCATCTTCATGTCAAAATAAGTGTGATACTTTAAAAATGATGAATCTCTCACTTGGGAGATAAAGTCTTGATTTATTCTGACATTTTTCTTGTCTCATTTTTCTGCTGTAGGAATTAGTCGGGTCAGATGCGTACATGAAGGGAGACAGAGGTGGAGAAGACCCAGACTGACCTTGAAAGCCTGTGAAGCCCAGCAGTCATTTCCAGACATACAAAGATTAATAACCCTCTGGTGATTAATGCTATTAGGACTGCTATGATAGCAGAACCTTGTGGGAGATGCAGGATTTGTCTGTATACTGTGTGTGTGTGTGTGTGTGTGTGTGTGTGTGTGCAACAGACTTTAAGCTGGTGAGGTTAACCTAGCAGTGCATAAACAGGAATAACAAAATGTCCCTGTGTGCAATGATGCCCTGTCGTGTCCCTGTAGAGCAGCGTAATGAGCTCTGTGTGCCCTTACTCCTGGAGAACTCGTCTTGCGCTGCCACTGTTCCCTCCATCAACTTGGGTTTAATCAGTCTGGTACAAAGTCCATCGGCATCTTTGGTGTAGTGCTGGAGACAGAAAGTTGGAGAGAATTAAATGCATTTTTAATACATAAAGAAAAATGTCAGCATGTTTGAACTGAAACATCAAGTGATGGTGAGTCTGCCGTGTATACTGTACAATGCCGCTGTGGCCCGAGCTGGGAGATCAGGGACTGGTGTTCATGAATTAATTCAGACTGGTGAATGTGTATACAAGCTTTTGATAGGCAATACAAAAGTGAGGCTGATGTTTCCAGCTACAGATGAACATGAAGGTAGTTATGAAAAGAAGATTCAGCCTGTGTTGTGAGATCTGATGTGAGGGGGCTCCGTCCACCAAACAGACAGCACGGCAGCTGAAACTTTAATCATCGTGCATCAGTGTTAAAGATGCAGAGAGATGTCTTGAGGGACAACAGAATCCCTACCTCATTTCCACATAAAAGATGGAGTGAAATAATATGTAAGAACAGGGCAAGTGTTCTGCTTGCTTCTGGAGTTCTCCTTATTAGAGCACTGTGCTCCTCTAATCAGCACCACCTGAATTCTATGAAAACAGGTTTCAGGTTTCTCTTTGCTGTCAGCGCTTAAAAAAAAGTGCATTTGTGATGAAGTGTTTTATTTCATTAAAAAATAATCTGTCAGCAGCAGCAGCAGGGTATGAGCCCAATTTTCTGTTTGTATCCATGGAGCTCAAAAGACAGTTGCTCCAAATGCGCCGTGTTTCTTCCCATTTGTCTAAACACAAAATTCCCAGCTTTCATGCACAATGGTGGGTAAATTATCTGCAGAGTTGAACAAAGACCAGAATACGGAGGGCATCTCACTTTTTAAATTACAATTTAGATTTTGTATGCAACTGTGGTTCACTACTGGAACATCACAGAAAACTAACCATCAACAGAATTTACACAAGAGACCAAAAGCATCTGCACAGCAAGTCTACATGTGTATGATGAAAGAATCACACGTACAAAGTGAAAAAGTCTTTGCTGGAGATTCTAAATACTAGGACAGTGTTATAACTTTCGCTTCAGTGAGTACAAAAGGGTCAGCGTAACGTAAATTTTGTCAGCAATAAGTTCACAAAAATCAGCATTACGTGCCATTCAAATGTTGTGTCCACCTTCTACAAGGGCAGCAGTGTACATGTGTGGAATAGGTACACACCAGTAGACTACACATGTGGAACAAAGTCCCCGGACGGACTCAGAGACTAGAAAGTGGCATTACATTACAACAACAACAACAACAACAACAACAACTATACAGCGATGTTTGCAAAAAGAGCATATTCAAGCCTTTAATGCTATCCCAGTGTGTGGCGTAGCTCCGCAGATGGGAGGAGTGGAGTTGGGTAGCGTTTACTGTGAGAACCAGCAGCAGAGGAGAAGTGTGTGGGTGTGAGAGAGTTCAATGCATTGGTTCACCCCCAGAAACACAAATGCCAAATAAAGCCCAATCAATATCTGCTCATCATGAATTTAGATCAGCCATAAACACTGTAAATACAGATTCACAACTTCACTGATGAGACACAACATTAAAACCACAGCATAAAACTCTGTCAGTTCCCTTTGTGCTGCCAAAACAGCTCTGACTCGATGAGCCACATGACCTTGGGATCTGGGAAGCTGGTCGTCCGGTTTAATGCCTTGGCCTTTTTGACATGTTCTTCAAGCTGTTTCTGAGCAGCTTTAATGGTGTCATGGGGTGCATCACCCTGCTGGGGGAGCGGCGTTGCCATTAGGGTGTGTGTACACATCATTTGTGATTTTAACGTTGCGGTTAATCAGTAAATTGTTTGCTTCCCTTTCTTCGAAGTACAAGACAGAAAAAGCAGAACTTTGTGAGGTAAACAATGAATCAGTGTCTTTCTACCAGACAGCTGAGGTTACACGACATCATTAAATGTATGTGTAACCACTAGATTACCAAACAAAAAAAAGAAGAAGCTCCATAACCAACAAAGCCAACGTTATACAACTGCAGATTGCTGTCCACAGACTGTAAGTCACCATCACAACCACCAGGGGGCAGCATGGTGCAGCACAGAGGCTGACAAACAGAGCCACACATGAAGAATATCAACCACCATACAAACAAATATGTGCAATTAGATTCTGTTCAGCATTTACAAGTGATATAGCTGCATCATGCGCCATTATATGGGCAGTGTTTTAGATATTTTCTTGGAAAATGTAAAGAGCTCTGAAAGGAGCCTAATTAGTAATGCTTATATTAAAATTACTTCGTCTTTTAGCGCACGGAAAGGTATTTTTAGTATAAAACTGCCTTGGCTAAATCAAAACCCTCCCATATGTAATTAACAAAGAAGGGTGTAATTAAAGAGTAAAAATACACATCGAGCACCATACCAGACAATGTTGTCACTGTGCGATTGCAGGGATGTAAGCCTTGGTCTGTCAGTATATGTTTGTGCATGTAGTGTGTCTATGCGAAGCCTGCTGTGACCAATGTGACCAGCAGAGCAGGACAACGGCGAGCAAGCCGGAAAAACACACAAGAATGTGAGGAATCCTATCATAGGCTATTATAGAGAGAGGGAGAGAGAGACAGAGAGAGAGAGAGAGAGAGAAGACATGGGGGAATGCAGACAGGCTACAGGATGAAGATATATAGAGAGAGAAACGGAGAAGGAAAGCAAAGAACGGGAGACCGCAGAGGGTGAAAGGAAGAGATTGAGATGGATAACAAAGAGAGGAGGACAGAAAGCAATATGCCAGGTATCCACGAGGGAGCACAAAGAGAGAAGGAGGGAGGGAGGTGGAGAAAGGAAGTGGAGGTAGAACCGAGCCTGGAGGGTGTGAACGAGCGAGAGAGGGAGAGAGAGAGGGAGAGAGAGAGAGAGAGAGAGATTGTGGGTGGCTGATAACAAGAATGCACCGGGGATGTAGATGGTCTCATTGCCAGCTGGCACATTCCTGTCGTCCACTTCCAACGCCCCGCGAGGCAAAAAGATGAGGCCCAATTAAAAGTGTGATAGCCGCCAATCCAGCTCTTCTCTTTATCTGAGAGGATGAAAGGCCTCCCTCCCCTCTCTCTCGCTCTCTCTCTGCCATCATGTCTCCTGTCTTCCCCTCTCCACACTCTGTCTTTCCTCTGAACCGGCTTTCAGATAACAGTCAGGGAGCGAGAGGATCAGAGAGCTTTTTGAAGAACGTGCACTTGAATCAGATTTTTAAGGGAAAGTCCATGGGAATACTGCGAGTGTCCTTGTGTTTACAGAGTTATGTAATCATGCTGCTGCATGATTAACAGAAGTATAACTAATGTAGCTAAGTATATTAATTGTAGTAGAAGAAGATTCGAATGATGGATTCTAGTTGTTATTCCTAATTTTTCATATACAGAAGAAATAAAATTAACATGGACATAAACTTGTATTTGTTGCTTCACATGGGCTCATTTTTTTCAGAAAACTTCTTAACAGAAGACTGCGGGGGCATCGCATTGTACTAAAAATCCCAGCCTCAGTGCAAATAGAAACCAAGAAAGAATTTATATGTTCTCATAATAAGGATTCTTATATCAGTAACTTTTTGGAGGTATCTACGTGTAAGTTTAGGTGTAGACTGACAACACGAGGTGATGTTCGCACAACAGAAACTGAAAAAACAGTCCTTTATTATTGTGTGATTGTTTTTGATTCATCATTTGGTCAATAGAACATCTGAAATTGTTAAACAAGGGTCCCCATAAATCGAGTAGCTGCAATGCTGGAATATTTCGGAACTATCAAAATAGGTACCAATTATTGTTCTGCTTCTCACTTGTTTAATGGTTTCAGCTGTATAGTCTTGCTGAAGATGCCCAGACATGAACTAAGATTTGTAGAAAAGCCACACTTTCTGCCACAGAATAGAACACATTTCCAGCCTCAGCCTTAAAAATGTTGCCCCACCTCGACGTGACTTTCAGGAGAGAGGAAGTTTACTGGGACCCGAAAACAGAGTGACATTTATGAGACAAATGTCAAAGGTCAGAGGTTTCGTTTTCTGACAAACAGGTCTCTTTACCATCTCTGTGGTTCAGCTCAACACTCTGAGCCTTTCAGTTCTTACTGTGATTAAGTTTAAAGACACAACAACCAACTGGCAGCGATGATGAGTGGCCAATTATCCTTTTCAGCTGCCGCGCTGAATGCCAAAGGTATTATGGGTATTAAGGGTATTATGTAAAGAAAAAATGTGAGCATACAGTGAATGACAGCTACGTTCTCTACGATCCCTCACCTCCACCAGCTGCATGAGGTTCTCAAAGTACTCCTCCTCATCGATGGTCAGTTTGCCGTTGTGGTAGATGATGCGATAGTGCTCCACCTTGCCGTCGCAGCTGACGCACAGGGTGTAGTCGCCGGGATAGTTGGTGCTCTCCCTCACCAGGAACAAACCCGTCTCTGGAGGATAGAGGAGTCGCTCAGCCTGCTCCCGAGTTATCTTACCATGAAACCACCTGGAGGGAGGGAAGAAAGAGAGAAAATTAAGGAAAAGAGGAACACAGAGGAAGAATAGAACATGAGTGTGTCAGACAAGGAAGGAGAAAATCAAACTAGTCAGGATGTTGTTTGACTGACAGGTTTGTGTTGCTGCAAATAGTTAATTTAACAATGGTGGAGTTTGATGTATGTGCAGGAATACCACATGTGCAAGTTCTTGTGTCTGAGAAAAACATCAGAAACCACGAACAGCATCAGAAAGGACAAAACAGATCACACAAGTAAAAAAAAAAAAATAAAGATTTACACAGGTTTACTATTGTCACCACACTCATTTGCAACTTCAACCATACAGAAGGATCCACTTCCACGTATCAGGCCCACTGCCTTCCTCTGAAATGAGAAGTGAAAAACAAGAGCGGGGCAGTAATGGGAAGCCGGCAGCAGCGCTTCCAGTCTGTTCAGCTTGAGCGGTGCAGGGGCGGGGCCGTCCCGTCTTGGGGAGTCAGTGAGAACCCAAACAACAGGAAACACAGTCCTCACAAACACACACACACACATGCAAGAAGCCTGGAGGCAGAGTTGGACACTGACGTGCAGGCACTGCAATAACAGGAAAATGCAAAAACTGCTTAGACGAGGCGGGGAGTAGGACAGAACCAAGCGACCCATTCCTGACTGAGGTCAGGGAAACCAAGGGATGGACTGATCCCTAAGCTAAAAAGCTGGTCAGAGTTCTGCTGGCATTAATGTACTCCAACAACAAATAAAGCTCTGGCTTCCTGATTTAGAATCTGTGTAACCCTTCTTTACCCACCATATGGCCTGATGGATATATCTATAGGCCACTAATGGCTGGATTAGACAGCTGCATCGACATCTAGCCATCATCGACAGCTCCATGGTCTTCACAAATCTCTTATGTGCAAATGCAATATTTGTTACTGTTGGTGTTTCTTTATTAAACAACAAATAAACTGTACCTTCTGTCTTGAAATGGTTAGGTGTATTTTAGTTTTCTCTATTAAATACCGTTAAGTTTACTTGTGATAAAAGCTGATGTCCCACTGTTTGGATTCTGAATTTCATTTCCTCCATTTCTACAGATCTGTGGTATTAAGCTCAAACACAAAAAGCATCCAAGCAACATCAGCGGTGAAACAGCGGCCTGCATCCCATCGATTCACATCACTCCTTGTGTGAAAGGTCAAATTAGCCATCAACAGTAGCAACGCACGGAGTCTCCCTATCCACGTTGGCTGGTCAATGGGTGGTAATTAACGGCGATAATTGATTTAGCCCGTTTTCCTGTGGCTGCCTCCATCACACCCTCCTCCTCTTCCTCTTCTTCCCCCCGTACTCGGCCTCCTCAGACAGCAGAGGCCCTTGTGGCAAAGCAGCTTAATACGGGTTGAGTTGATTAGATCAGTGCAGGCAGCTTCTCCGATGGACAGCAGCTCTTTAACTCCCCCTAATCTGAGAGCAGGCGCCAAGCGTGGACGTTCACGGAGACACACGGCCCCTTGGTGGACGCACACTTGCTGCTTTGTCTCCAGAAATCAACTGCAGTTTTCAGGAATTACATCACACTCAAAAAAAAAAAAAAAAAAAAAGTCACAAAAATGTGGTAAACAACATGGATGAAGGAAGCAGGGCAACAGGATTGAACACCCCGGCTTTCTTTTGGGTGGTGCTGTTACGCGGGGTAGATATCTGCCACATGGGGGCAGCAGACAGAGTAGATGCCAGTAATGGAGGCTGAGACTGCATCTAATGCTGACTATCAACCGGTCAGTGTGAGCATGGGGGCAGAAGAGCACAGCTGAACTCTTATGTAACCCAGAAAAGAGGGAGAGGTCTTCTGTGAGACATCTGTTAGTGATTCATAATGAAATCAACAAGTCCCTGTGGGTTACAGCTAATGGCTCCAGACGAACGACTTCTGATAGCTTGAGGATTTAAAAAAAAACAAAACAAAAAAAAAAAACACCTAATACTATGCAGTGATCTCAAAGGCAGTAAGAGCATGAGGTCAGCAAGTGAAGTCATGATAAATGTTTGTATGTATTTCTTATCATGAAATCAAAGTAAAATTAGGGAGTGAGGCAACAGGTGTTGTAGATTTGAATCATGTTGACCATCAGGAGTTTGTGTCTCTCAGAAAGGAAAGTAGTTATTTCAAAGACATACAGTGATGATAATTAAGTAACAGTTAACAACCAGTTTAACTTCATGTAATCTGAGGTGTAGCTTTGCTAAAGTTGTATTGGAGTTCAGAATTGCAAGCTGATGTCGTGTGCTGGTAAAGCCCGCAAAGCTACACAAGACTAATTTTAAATTACCGTCAGCCCTCCTCAGATCACACACACACACACACACACATACACACAACAACATGCCAGAGCTGGATGACACACTGACCAAGTTCAATATGGTGTGGACAGACAGGATGAGGGCTGGCAAAAGGAGAGGTTAAAGCTTTCAGCAGCAGTTGGTGAGGAGAGACAAAGAGGGTCAGAAGTCTGTTGAAATGTTTCCTGCCAACAAGGTGTTAAGAGTTGTACCACCAACTATTGAGACTTGCAGAAGCAATGCGCCCATGACTTCCTACATATGGCGATCGATCCACCGGCTAATGTCTGTATTTAGAGACCACAAGTTTCCTTTAGAGTACAACAATTTCCTCCTAGGAGCTTGAGGACAGTTCAGTGTTGTCACACAACGCATGCAAGGAGAAGAAAACAGTGGAGGCGAGCTAATGTACAGTACATCCCTGCACGTTGTCAAAGTAAAGCATGTTTTTCAGGAAACAAAACATAATGCATTTTTGGAAGAGGGACAAACTGAAACAAAAGTGTAATCCAGCTTTGGCCTGACTTGATTAACTCTGCTTTGTCTCAGTACAGTCTACAGCAGAACTAACTATCCTCTTCTTTCAACTCCACATTTCCAACTTAAAAACACTGATTTGCAAAGTTTAAACACTTGTTTATTACCAGTTCAAGGGTAAACACAAATGGTTTGGCCATTTTCAAAGCTTTCAACATCTCATAGCTATGTGATGATACTGTAGCAGCAGCTCAGCTTTCCCGTCCTGTTTCATTTGCATATGCCTCTCGTTATGTTTTCCTCTGTTTGAATAGCTGCAGTTTCAAAGCGACTCAAATGTCACTCAAATGTAGTGCGCAGCTGGTCCTGGCCTCTGTGGCAGTCAGACGCACACGACAGGCGACAGACACAGTAAAAAGCAAAAGGCTGTAAGAGACGGAATTTCCATCTTTTGAAGTCAACACTACATTTTCCCTCGCTGCAGGGAACAGAGGCGAATGGGGTTCAACAACTTGTTCACACACTTAAGGATGGAAAGCATATATGTCAGAGATATTCAAGAAGCATAACCCCAGAAGTAATTATTATTCCGATTACTCCTGCAAGTTGTTATATTGCTGTACACCTTTAGCATTTTCCTAAAATGTCAAAAAATAAAATATTTCAGTCATCTTAACATTTCTACAGTTGGCTATTACAATAATTATATTTAGCCCAGCGCTGCCGTTATATTTTCATACGCAGCAGTTTAGGAAAAGGTTTATATAAATCTAAAATGTGGCAAACCATTACACACACACGACTAATTAAACTGGGTTCATCCTTTGTTAGCACACTGATACTTACGGCATAAGACTGAGTTTTCCTCCTGACTTGACTCCTTCCCTTTTCTGGACATAGTTAGCTGGGATGGTGCCCTCTCTGCCCACTGTGTTCCTTGCTCTGTACCAGTTTGGATCCTGAAACAGTCAAGGACACAACAAGGGAACCTTACAATTGAAAAATAACACCATCTTAAACATTCAAGTCATGAGGCAGGTGAAGGGCATCCCTGCCTCCCAGGTCTTTAAATACGTGGAGCTGGAAACATGGAGATAAGGCGCTGCACTTCGAAACATACAGCACTCAACACATAGTTGAGAATTGAAATCATAATCCACTGGTTCAATCAGATATTGTTGCAGGCAGAAAGGGCTGCTGTGCATCTGAAGCAGAGACACCAGAGAGCGCCTCCAGCTACAAGGAAAGACACTGACCAGGGCGACAAAGCTGTTGGATGGAATTACTTACTCACTGGAATTTTAAGATTTTTAGAAGCTGATATGCTTTTTCATGGAGGTCTTTGTTTTTTTGTTTTGTACTATGCTGAGATACAGTCAATGCATTTGCCAATAACGTGTTATTGTTCTGTAATTTACAATCAGACCTTCGTTAGGCAGTAGGTTTTGACTCTCTTTTTGCAGCTAACATCATGAACTACTCGTACTGGCTCGGAGTAGAGCTTAAAAAGAAATACAGTCATACATAATATACATAGATACTGCAGTATACATAACATTGCTGCAACACTGCATATTTCAAGCAAGAAGAAAAAGCTGTCCTTTCACTTTCTCTGCATACCACTTTCAATATGCATTCCTGTTTCTTCAGTACATAACTGAGGAAACTAAAGTGGCTCCATTTACTGTGCTACGTTATGAAGAAGCAAATAAAAGCTTTTCAACAATTAACTCACTCCTTGAATCAATCGCTTGGCGAGGATAGCAGCTCTGAGGGCTTATTGGACAATGTGCATCAATATCTCCACCTCAGAGGTTATGTTTGCGTTTGTCTGTCAGCAATATCCCATAAAAACTAGCAGGCCAAATTCAACAAACCTGTGAAGCCGGGCAAAGAAAGAGCTCATTAAATTTCTGTGGGGATCCAGATCACTTTCTTTCAATTTGTGAGAAAGGGTATTGGCCTTGGTGGAGGTTTACGCTCTCTGAGTGCACTTCCAGTTTACAACGACTATATATTCTCAGATACCCATTTTCTTACCCTGGTGACTCCTATGATGGTCAGTACATCTCCTTTACAGAAGGGCAGGTCCTGTTCGTTGGCAGTCTGGAAGTTATACTTGGCTACACACTCTGTGCCAGTCGACCATGGCGTCTGCATCACACAGAAGAACCAACATTAATCATTAATGTAACTCAGTTTAACATTAAGAGTTGAATTAAACCAGTTCCAACACACAGTAAAAGTCACAATCAGACATAACGAGACACTCAGGGGGAACACAGGAATAGTTAATTGGACAGCAAGTTCTACTCCACAGAGTTATGACCTTGCAGTTCAGTCATTAACACCACAGCCTGACAACAAGACAGCTATTGGTTCAAATGTTTCTTTGGGGAGTTTGCATGTTCTTCCCATGTTGTGTGTTTCTCGCACTCTTCTCTTTATCTTTGCTACGTTAAACCCAATAAAACTTTAATAAAATAATAAATAACCTAAATTTGAATCTTGTAACAGCCGTTGAAATACAAAGCAGAGATCCAATTATGATTTTCACACACGGCAATTGCCATCACAACTTATAATTACTTGGGGGGGGGAGAAAAACAAAAACATGTGATCAATATCTGAAAATTAAACTGAGTGCATGCACAGAAGGTGTGACTTAGATTCCAGGCAATAATTTATCTCTGTGCAGCTGTGCATGCTAACATCACCCACTTCAAAGGCAGAGATTAATGGACCCCAAGGTGAATTTTGGCAAAAAGGTTGAGACTGCACCGCTGCACAAAAAGAGAGCAGTAACTACAGAAGCAGTGAAGTTGGGGGCAAAGGGGTTTATTTTCAGGCCCAGGTGGCAGACTGCTTAACATATAGAAAGGTCGTAATGGGAGTTGCCTCTCAAAAAAGTATTACCACAGAAGGTGCACAATCCCGTAAAAATAAAACACAATCTAAATTTAAAGTTTTGTCATAAAAAATAAGGTTTATTTAGATTATTTACAGCCAATGGCAGAACATGCATTTCTGTTTTGCTAAATGGCTAAGTGAGTATATTTTTATCATTATTTAGATTGAAATTGTAATAAACCCTTTTTTTTTTAATCCTAAAAGTGAGCATCTTTAAATATGTAATGTGAACGGAATTTTCCCACTAAATCACTTAATTAAACTGGAGAGATGAGTCGGGAGCTACTGAGATCTAAGTTAGTGAACCAAGCTAACAGGACTTAACGCTGAGTTAGATAAGGTGTTGGGTTTTATACAGTATTTCATCACGTTGGTCATTGGTTATGTGGACTAACAATGTGAACTACCAACATCTCAGTTCTTTTAATTACATTACTTTTAAATTTTTTGTTTTTAGCGACAGCAAAGACGTAGAAGTAGCCATATTTCCATTTAACTGTCAAGCGAATATTACGCAAACTTGTGAAATATCAAAAATGTGGAAAAAATAAAATACAAATGAGGCTTGTTTCGCTTGAACTGTTTTGGAGCAAATAAACTAAGCTACATGGTCTTGTCAGAAAGTGACAGTCGAGGCTACATTACACATAAATACATGGACATAAAGAGACTAGGAAACAAAACAAGGAGTCTAAAAAAAAAAAAAAAACCTACAATATGAAACAAATTAAACTTTAGCCATCTAGAAGAGAGAAATTGACAGAAGTCCTTAGGAAAAGTTTTCAATCTGGAAATTTGTAATTTTCCTTTTTATGTCAACTGGTATTGGCTGTGATTCATGCTGTCTGGATTGTGTATTGCATAAACAGCTGATCAGTCATCTGAGTTAAACCTCAAAGCATATTTGAAAAGGTGTTTCCATCATGGAAAGTCTTCACACCCCACAATAATCTGTGATAACAGTGTCTGTTTGATGCTGCATAGTAATAAACTGATCTCACAACAGTGACTTAGAATTTCAGTAAACCCCTCGAAGCTCTGTATGGTCAATGATTTGTATTGTCAGACAATCTGACTGCAATAAAGGCAGCCAGCAGCTGCAACAGACAAATGTAAATGACAGAAAAGAGAAGGAAGCTGAGTGTATTCAGTTTGCGCTGTTAGATCGGCACAGCGGTGTGATCAAAATCATGCATCAGTTACATGAATGAGATGAAAGGACAAAGCCAGAGTACAAAGCAGCAGGTGTGAGTGAGCGACTACGTTCCTTGAATAAGCGGCTTTATTCACAGTAGAGGCTGAATGTGTCTGACGCAGCCTTGGTCAACAGTGCATTATGACTTTGGACCACCGCTGACGGCTGCTACCGAGCCTCACACACACACACACACACACACACAGAAAAACCCTGCTTCTCTGGTGTTTTTAATTTTCATGTGGTCACATGAAAAAAGTGACTTTATTTATTGAAATGTGTTTTGCTACACAGAATGTACTGCAAGGGAAGATTTCCATGAGGATCTTCACTAATTTAAAATCTAGCCGAGTGCAACACACAAAACAGCTGGGGAGAAAAACCACAGCTAAATTTAAATTGAATGTCATCTGCACTTGTCTGTGTTTGCTTGCTTACGTTTTTTTTTTTTTTTCCCCCTCACAGCAGGGATGGATGCTGATGGGCACACAACACTATATATTTGACCTTTTGGTCACGAGTTGGTAACATTACCAACAGGTCACAGTGCTGCTCCTCGAAATATTCTGGGTCAGGCTGGCCCCTGGCCATGTGACATCCTTGCAGACACTCACTGTATAACTTTAGAAACACGCCATTAATATTAAGTCAGGATCACCGTCAGTGCACAATAAATTTATGTTGCTACAAAGCACAGGCTCTTGATGCTCAAACATCCTGAGTAATGACAAATGGTTATTCATTATGCATTTTAAGGTATTATTTGCCATTTTGATTCACTGACATAAACATTATGAAAACTCCAAAAACCTATTAAGAAAGCAGAAGAAGACATTTTTCAATAAATGTAACTTGTACAAGCCAAGGGCAAACACACTAGTGCAAGAAAATACTTAGTTTTGCTGTGATATGATTACATTTTTGTGTGATTTTTTTTCCAAACCCCAGCCTTGGTTTTCGTAAAAATCCTTAATTACAGCTATTTCCACATTTTCCCTTTTAACCTTCCTTACTAATATGGAGTGTTTTTGATAAAGCAGCAGTGAAGGTAAGTCCATGAGAGTCAAATGGAATGTGGATTGCAGCTTTGTAATGAAGTGATAATTGGGACGCTTCAGTTTGAGGATGGGTTACAGACAAAAATACAGGAACAAACGCTAAAGAATGTTAAGTTCAGCTTTGATGTCTAAAGCAAAAAAAATACAAAAATAAACATACTAACGCAGTGATCAAAGAGTCGAAGAACCTTTGGCAGATCAAGGAAGAGTATGCTACAGTGCATTTATCTGTATAAAACAACAGTGTTAAAACCTGATAGCTGCTGCTGTGAGATAATAACCTCCAGGTGGGAACAAGTTATGTTTAACTCAAGACGTTTTTTAGATAGAGGAAGGGTTTTTTTTTTCATCATAAAAGGAGGGTTATTAATTTCATCTTTCGTATACCACGTTCGGCAGAAGAGACTACTTGAACTTTTTTGGGGAGATTGTAAAGGAATTTATATCTATTGCATTAACTACTTTAGACATGTGTAACAGTAGAATATGCATTCATTGAACCAGCAACTGACAGTTAGGATGTAAATATGAAAGCCCCTGGACAAAGACAACATGCTTTTGCTCAACACACTACTGAAGGATGAACAAAACTAACGAGAAGGCCACTTCTAGTGTTAGCATCTTTCGTTATACAATTGTTTTATATTAGATTTAGTTGACTCAACAAATAATTCATGGAATGTAGAGGGAGGAGTGTTGGAGAAGTGTTTTGCTATCTGTGTACCTATAGAGGTGAAAAAATGCACTGCAAGCTTCACTTACGTGGATCCCAGACATGATGAAGGGAATTGGGCAGCAGGTGTCCTCAGGCAGGTAATGGTCACTGTTCAGCTAGTACCATTAGAGCTGAAACACACAAAAAGACAGTCATTAGAATACAGCCAAGAGCCTTTTCATTTACCCTTTTGGGGCTTTCTCCACACCACAGACAAATACTAACTTGATTCATATGCAAGAGTGGTCCCTGGGTCAGAATCTTAAGGCCTCATCTGACATTGGTGATCACATTCACAGACATGTCCAAAGAAAGCAAGCTATAACCACATCTTGTCAGTCAGAGAAAGATTTTGTTCTATGAACAGTCTGGCGTTCAAATTGCATTATAGCATTTCCTTGCTTATTGTAGTGCTGAGATTTGTTAATATAACCGGTACCAACATCATATCAATGGAATAATTCACCATAATTTGGATTTGGCAACGTCCATGGCCCTGGTGCAGAGAGGATTTTAATTATCACATTACATAAAGGGAGACATGAGCATCAGTGCAGCAGCCAAATCAAACATGCATTTGCATTCTAAAAAAGGTGGCGAGTGATAGCACTACAGAACCAAAATATGAGCAAAAATGTGTTCTGGCCCCAACATGATAGAGTCAAGGTGTTTCACTGGATGAAAGCTAGAGTTGCCAAATATGCCTTATCCGCACATGTGTGCCCATGCAGACCGCTAGAAAAGGTGGAGGCAACAGTGACAAAACCTGATTCGCAGTATGTAATACTACACCTCAAAAAATTTCAACCATAACAAAATTCCAACGTTCCACTGTAGTAGTCATGAGGCAGCATATCAAATGTCACACACGCGAGTGCAGCATCAAATACAGCAGCAGCAATGCACAGATCTCAGGGAACAAATCGCTTTCTAGCACAAAGACTGTGCAAAAACTCAGCAGGGTTTCTACACTGCTAGGCAGCCACGGTGCAACTTGTACTGAAGAAAAGACATTTAAGACAAATGTATTTCAGATTTCCATTTGTAGTACTTAATGCTGCCGATTCCCAACGCCCGCCAAATATAATCTCACAAATTCACTCGTCTAATTTCGCCTTTTTTATTTCCTTTGACAAATGAAGTTAGCTGCTTATAAAAGATTCATTTATCTAGGACTGTTCTATAGATTGAATGCAAGTCTGAAATTGTGAGGCTGTAAATGAGGAGAAGGCTGCTCTTTGATATTAGACTCTGTTGAGCATCTTGCTTCTGCAGCCATTTACTAGTCTTTTAAAGGTGACCTTGATACAGTGACAGAGAGGAGGAAGAGAGGGAGAGACACACAAATGAATGCAGCGACAGAAGGAAGGAAAGGCCGAGAAAGGAAAAGAAGGAAGGCATGAAGTGAAGAATGTACATCTGTGTCTTAGTTTGTGCCTGGAAAGCGTTCATGTATGATCGGGTGTTTTACTATGTGACTGGAGGATTCTGTGTGCTGAAGTGTGAGTGTAAAACTATGTATAGTGTGCTGCTGTGTCCCTGAGAGGGTGTGTGTTTACATGTGTGCCTCAGTAAACCAATATCTGTGTGATATCTTTTTGTGTATCTGCAAAAATGGGATACAATATGAAGTATACATTATGAAATGTTGGCTGTCAAGACGCAGTGGCAGAACGCTTGATATTACAGAAGTCTGAAGATGTAACAATAACCGAATAAGGTCTCCTGCCATAGCCTCCATTCAAAGCATCTCACTTCCGACCAGTCCAGAGAACAGGAAGCTGAAATGGGGAGGGTGGAGAGTGAGAAGAGGGAAGTAGCCGACGCATATTTTCCAGTGCTTCGTATGAGATGGGGAGGGGCTGTACTTGGACTCCAGAGTGAGCATAGGTACTCTGGTCGACCTTCAGGCAGACTACACCGCTCTTGATAAAGTCATGTCAGAATAAGTCAAAATAAACAGTGCACAAAACAACTTGGGTATAATTCAAGCTCAAACATCCAAGCTAAAAATGTATTCTTTAATCTTATACTTCCCTTTAAATTCCCCCTGCATATCTTAGGTGGATATAATTAAAAAGAGCCCCTAGCTTTTACTCTGATTCAGTTTCATGGAAAATTTTGTCCACTGAGTGTAAGCCAGTTGTTTTTCCACTTACAAAGTAACTTAGGGCCCCGTGTAATTTTAGATGCCTGAAAATGATGCATCTCCTTCAGAGGGCCTGGCTACTGGCTGGCATTCTCCCTGAGAGCATCTATGGCCAGGCTTCACAGCACTACCATATCCTGTGTTGAAACAGGAAACAGCCTAATTGCAGACCATTGCAGAGCTGTATGCAAACTGACGGAGCCAAATATATCCGCGGCCAGGCTGCTCTGGTGGACCCAGAGGGCACCCGCTTCTTTCCCTTTGCCATTCTTTACGTCTAAAACAGCGCTGCTGGAACAGAGCAGCGCGGCTCACCAACCCACAGCCACACTTGCTGGCCAATAGAGGAGAGACAAGTGAGTGCTATTCTTATCTCTCTCCGGTGCTGAGAAATGCCTGCGAGCTATTCAAAAGCTTCAGCATCACACTGCTCACATCACTCTCCTTAAGTTAGTCAAGTGGTACTCAGTAAGGGCCTGTGACTTCTCCAATTTTCTGCAGCAGACTGTAGAGCAATGACACTGTATACGATTTGACAACACATCAGCAAGTTTCTCACAGAGCAGAATATGGAACGGCACACACACTGACAGGGTATGCATTGTGATACCATACATGTTTGATGCTGAGCAAGAAAGAAAATGTTACCCTGCTGTGCGGTGCGACATTACTCCTGCTGAGCATCTATGTGGAAACCTGAGGCTGTGTTCAGGTTTACGACGGCACAGTCTCGAAAAATCAGCAAAATGTGTGTGCTAAGTGTGTTCAATGTGCTGCTACAGTTTCTGCTCAGAAGATGAAATTCAAACCAGGAAGTCCAGCTTGAAAGCTTATCAGATGTCAAGACACTGCACGACAGCTGATATACCACTGAGATGGGATTTGAGGATTAACATGAGAATTGATATAATGCTGCTCAACTGGCTTGGACCGGACACAAAGCACTGCCAGTTAATGAACACAGTGGCAACAGTTGCTCAACAATCGACTCTTCCACAATATAATCGTTGATCTGAACTCTCAAGATAAGGGCCAGGTGAGCGCTTAACCCAACCAACTGTATCGCGTTAATAAAATGTCTGACTGCATCGCTTTTCATATGTTAACGTCACTCATCAAAGTGCACACTTAGCATTCTAGTTCACTCCGGCTACCAGATGCGCCACACATGAATGGAAATCACTTCCTTCTCCACACCCCTCCTCCTACTCATCTTCCTCTGTGTGACAAGAGCTGCTGGTAACAGTGTCATGGCAACAAACTAAGTGATGTAACAGCATCCTTTGATGCAGCACTGCTGTTTCCTTTGCTGTGCCAGACGACAGTAATATTACGACTGTTTTGTCTTATGTGTCATTTTTATTGTAACGAGCGTTGTGCGTTAAAGCCTGTTCTTCTTCAACTGTCTACGCATGCCTTTGTGATTCATATCAACTGCTGCACTCTACTGCACTCTGATGAATCCAGATTAAAGTGATTAAGTGAGTGTGGGGTGCTCATCCACCATGTATGTCTGTATGATCTTGCATTGGCGCACTGTGCCTCTTAGACCAATTCATGTAGTTCCACTTAGAGAATAAAACTTGTATTTCTGTACAAGACCACCTCTCTGTGCACCAAAGAACACAGCTAAAGAGAGTGATCAAAGACATGCTATGGCAAGTGTGTGTCTTTGCTGTAAGATGTCCAGGCCTTCTTAAAAACAAATCTTCCCAAGGGTGTTGGAAAGCAAATCAATTCTGAAAAGACAATTAAGATAGCTGTGAACAAAAGACCACTCCTACGCAGCCATATCAGGAGGAAAACTATTAGTGGAGGGTACAGTAACGCAGAATGCTGCTTCTACTTTGTTGAATTAGACAAAATAAAATGTCTAAACTATAGACGATCAAACAACGTTGTGGAAATTGACAAACGTTTCTTATGAAAGGTGTGCAGGAGTAAATGTGATTGCGCTGGATCTCTGCTGTCATACTGGTTTCTTTAGGAGTAGATTTCGAACACAACTTTGTTTCACTTCACATAGTTGTACTTTGCTCAAGTTTAGAAATCATCTTATTTTTGGGTCATTTCCAACAGCAAACAGACAAGCTGCTCTGAAATATGAGAACCTGACTTGATCCATTGACAGAACAGACAGTAATTACAGTTAAAGCCCGTTTTGTAATTCACAACTGTTGGCACTGCCATGAAGTGAAGCTCATCTAGATATAAGCGCTTTAATCACCATTCAGTTATAATACAAATTGTCCCCCAGTTTCTTGTCAGTGGAGCAGCTCGAAGATGCATCACTTGATGGAGCTCCAAATTTTTGATTTAGTAGAAGGTCACAATTTTGAAATTTAGCTTTCACTCTAAGCTCGTATTAGCTGACAATCAAACCAAGAATAACAGCACTGTTTGTACTGGACAGCTACCAAGCAACTGTGAGAAAGTTTAGTTGATTGTTGCGTCGTCAGCTTTTTAACTGAGACTGCTGTTGTCAATTTCAAAAAGCCCTGTGACAAAGCCTCAGGTTATGTAAAGAGAAGTCTCCAGACCAGGGCAGGCCCAAGGCCATCCACAGATTATGGTCTAATAGCAAAGCTTCTACAAGAGGTTATAAAAGTCTACTTTTACTTGGGGTGACAATTTAGCTTGGCCCAGATATACGCCTGTTTAAATCAGGATGTAATTAATTGTCCTGAGGGAAATTCAATTTGCTGAGCCAGCTTAAACAACAGCTCCCATTGCACTCAACAAAGGACAGCATTATATATATTAACAGTAAACAACATTCCCTTCGAATTCCAAGTCTGGTTAGTCAAGTAATGTCATGCAATTCACTGCAAACAGAGCTCTATACACCATACTCAATGTCTTCAGTGTCTTATATTTTTCATAATGCAGCTATGTGTTAGATCTTACAGAAACTTTTTTTCATTACTAAAACTCTTCTCTCAACAGGACTACAATCAATACTCATGTATTTTTTACAACTCG